ATATGAGGAAATCTTCTGCAGACCACCTTTCCTTAACCCCCACCCATCCTACAAAAGAGGAAAAATCCCAAACCAAAAAATAAAACCATAACATTAGAGAAAAGGTGAGTAAATAGTAATGTAAGCTGTCTATCAAAGGCCTGGATGTGTGTTTATTCAGAAAATTTTTAAAGCAGGGTTGATCCTGAGAGATGACTTAGCCCACTGGTTTTCAACCTAGACTATGCACTGGAATCATTGTGAATGCTCAAGCCTGGGACCCTCCTCTCAGAGATTCAAATTTCTCTGATGTATGGTAGAGCCCTGAGAAGAATAATTCAAAAACAGGAATTCCTAACATGCTGCAATGAATAAGAAAACTGGACTGGTCCAACACTTCATTTGACAGATGAAGAAATATTATTGTTGTTATGTGCTGTTGACTCTGACTCAACTCATAGCAACCCCTCCTTGGGTTTCTGAGGCAGTATCACTACGGAAGTAGATTGCCCAATCTTCCTTCCCAGGAGTGGCTGGTGGGTTTGAACCTTCAGCCTTCTGGTTAGCAGTCAAGTGCCTTAGGCACTATGCTACCAGAGCTCCTAGATGAAGAAATAGTAGGTTGAAATTTCCAAAGCTTATATGCCTGATCAATGATTGAACCTTGCTTTCTCTTTCTACTTAACATTTCTCACACTGCTGAACTCAGGACAAGGTCTTATTCTTATTCATTTCATAACTCCTTTAGCCTGTTTATATTTAAGATAGCTGGCCCTATGGTATATGCTCAGTAAACATGAAAGGAATGAATCAATATCTTGTTTCCAATTGTCAATATGGGTCATGTTGGAAAACCCTTAGTGAATGGAGCATAAGTATGCAAAATTCCATGAGGTTTGCAGAGGTTAGAGCATGGGGACAATCTCTGGTTGTCTATTTTTAGGACAGAACCTGCAATGCCATCTGTTTTTATGGTTCCGCTAATTAAACAGATGTTCGGGCAAGCTTGGGGTACATGAGGTATGTGTAGGGTAGGAAGGAGGGGACTACAGAAACCCTACATCTTAGTCACATGGCAAAATAAGGAAAATGCATGCAATGAGGTCATGCAAGGATCAATAAGCTTAAAATCTTATGGATAAACGAATGGTGTAGAATTTGTCCTGGACCTGGACACATGTCCACATAGAAAGTGCTAAATGGAGGGGAGGGAGGACTGGGTTTGCAGAACAATGGCATCCAGATAAGGATGAGGCTCATATCGAGGTAGATGGCTGTTTGATGTGATATGCAATCAAGATTTTCTCTCTGGAGTTCTTGTTAGAGCATCTTCTCACTTCATGGAAAGGAGCCCTAGTGTGCAGTATTTAAGGGCTAGGCTGCTAACCAAAAGATCGATGGTTTGAACTCATCAGCCACTTCACAGGAGAAAGATGTGGCAGTCTGTTTCCACAAAGATTACAGCCTTGGGACCTCCATAGAACAGTTCTACTCTATCCTGCATTGTTGCTATGAGTCAGAATCAACTTTTTAGCACTTTTTGGGCCTAGGCCCTACCCACAGAAATCTAAATTCTGTGAGAACAAAGAGCGGGGATTCTGATACATCAGTATAATTTAAGGGGATTCTAAATCAAATTGCAATATTTGTCTCTCACCATCACTAATGTCTGAGACTCCGTCATTAGAGCTACAGTCCTTTGCTTACCATCCTGGGCCCTTTAATAGGAAAATAATTCAGAGAGAGGCCACATGTAAGGGTTTATCAATTATTGATACAAGATAACAAGTAAATGAGTTTCATCACTTCTTGCTTTCCCAAGAGGTAGTTTTGAAAATAATCATTACAGTAACAATAATGAATTTCTAACCTGTCTTACGTTCTTCCACTCTGCAGGAAACACAGTCACATTACATTTGCAAAGTGATCTACAGTTAACAAAATACTTTCTATCCTATGTTATCACTGTCATTCATCGTATCATGTCTCCTTTCCATGGATTAGAAGAGTAAGTACCTTCCCCAGACAAATTCTTCTATCACAAGCCTTGATGAGGAGCTCAGTTAGAGAGAAATAGGGCATTCTAGTAGGTGGAGCCCTCTAAATATTTGAAGGATGACCTAGAGGCAACATCACCTCTTTCCCAGCAACTTATAGTGAGTCAGATTCAATCTCAAGCCACCTCCTATTCCAAGCAGAGCAATCTTGAAATAAATGATTGGAAAAAAATCCAAGCATTTTATTTTCATTAAAAAAAAAGGAAAAAAAAAAGTTTATTGAATATGAATAATGCTTTATACAAATTCCCATTACAAAAAAAAAAAAAAAAAACCAAGAAAGAAACCAAAATTACCAATTTTCTGTTTCCAGGTGTGTAGCCGAGTATAAATGTCTCTGGATGGTGGTATCATGGTTAGTGTGCTTGGTTGGCCTCTACCCAAAAGTTTGGCAGTTTAAGCCAACCCAGAGGCATCCTATGGAGCAGTTCTACTTTGACAGACACACAGCATTGCCACAAGGTGGAACTGATTTGGCAGCAACTACTTGGTTGGCAAAGTATAAAAAATAACAAATTTGAATAAATTTTGGTATAATTTTAGACTCTAGATTTCTCTGTAGATTTTAGCAACTGGAACTTACATGCATTTACATTCACACATCATTAGGATCTACTTATGTGGCAATGACTCTGAATTATATCTTCTAGTAGCATAGACTCTCAGGTTTGGAAAACCAAAAAACCAAATCCACTGCTATAGAATCATATCCGACTCATAGCGATCCCTCTTTGGGTTTCCGAAGCAGCATCACTACGAAAGTAGATTGCCCAACCTTCCTTCCAAGGAGTGGCTGGTGGGTTTGATCCACCAGCCTTCTGGTTAGCAGTCAAATGCCCTAGGCACTATGCTACCAGAGCTTCTCAGGTTTGGAAAGACACACTAAAATTTGCTAGGTTTGAGTCCTCATGTGATACAAACCTTTGGATAATTTTCCTGATGTGGCTTGACTAAGATATGCTGTTACTAACTGACTGCCCTAGCAGTGTTAACTGCCAGCTAAAAGCAGGACCTTTGAGAGCATCATTTAGCAGACAGAGCCTTAAATATTATTGAAAGTAATTACAATTCAATAATGTTGGCATTGCCAACATTTATGCTATTTTTTTTAATTCATTCAATTTGTGTAGTAATAATATGATTAAGGCCACAAACTTATTTCCTAAAATCTCTCTTCTTGGTCATTTGAAAAGCAACTTTAAAATCCATACACTTGACTTTCTCAGTGTTTACCTATCATAGTACTCTTCACCTTACAAACCAATATTTGACATATGCCATCTCTTTGGATCCTCACAACAACACTCTCAGGTAGACAGGGAAGAAATGACCAGCCATTTTTTATAGATGAGGCAATAGATGTAAGGCAGCCAAATGTCTTGCCCAAACTCAGTAACTGATAGCACCAAACTCAAATCCAGGCCTCCTGACAACTAAGCCAACACCCTTTCCATTACATTTTCTTGCTCAAGTGAAGTAGCATTTTCCACAGTCTATAAAATTGAGAACAATTGTTAAAATTGACCTGAGCATTACCAACATGCTAGGTACTGAAGAGAGAACGAAAATGGACTCTCAGAGAAAGGAAGATGTCATTGCTGTGAAGCATTTGTGTAAGTTTTGTTCAATGACTTTTAAACAGGCAATTGAGCAAATAAAACACTAATTAGGCATATTTCATCTTCAAAGAATGAGAGTAATATCAAGTAATTAATACTCACATCACCTCTAACACCTGGTTAAGTATTATTATCTCCATTTGACAGATGGGAAAACAGGTAGAAGATTAAAATGACTTGTTTACAGCTACAGAGAGAATATGTGTCACCAGGTTATCACTCCAGAAAGTCTACCACTTTGTTCAGACAAACAGAGCACACCTCTCTGGGAGCAGAGGTAATCTATATGATAATTACATGTGGGGAAACCAATACAGTTAAGGAGAGAGGAAGAACAAAGTTGTTTAGGGGAATATACAACTATGAGTAAGGAACTTAAAAATTTAGTCAATAAAGCTGTTACAACACCTGGGAAAGTAGCACAAAGCTACTGGATGGGACAAATATTTTCAAAGCAAACAAGAGTGTTACAGGTCAGAGTACAGGGATCATGTGGGAAGGTCAAAAAGAATATATCATTCTGGTCATGCAAAAATATATGGAAGATGTGTCCACAAAGTTCTGATTTCCAAGAGGTTTTTTTTTGTTTGTTTGTTTAATTTTAAGAATTAAAATACAGGCTTATGAAATGTGCTATCAGATTTGAGGGTTAGAGACCAACCAAATGAAAAGCAAATAAGAAACTGGAGAATAACCTACTAATGATGAAGCAAATGCTACCAGTTCATAGCCAAAAACAAAGTATATGAAAATGACACACATGAAACAGGTAAAGAATTTATACTTGGTAGAATGGATTAGGTCTTATGTCAAAGACACTAAAAGCTGATGAGGAAGGGTGAGTGATATTTGATCCATTAGATTATATATGTATACATACAGAAAGAAGGAAAACACAAAACCAACTGCTTATTTAATCAGTATGGAATTATTATACTTTTTTTTATGTGATATTGCTGGTGCACACATAATGAGAGTAAGTTTTTTTTACCATCTAACTTTTTGCTAGAAAAACATCTATATATACATATCTATATATATTTAAGGAGCATCCCCTTTCTCCTTTTGAGTATGATTACTCAGTGGGAAGCAGTAATAAAAATGGATAGGGCTTCCCTCCTGTGTTGAGGCAAGGAGACAAAATAAAACTAAACCATTTCAGCAATAAGTACTTTTTAAAAAATCCTTTTTTTCTGTTTTTTTTTTTTTTTGATTCTCTGGTTTTGTTTTTGTGATACCAAAGTTCAGACTATAGTAGTCAAAAGTCTAAGATCTTAAAGTTGATGATCATATTTCTGTGTCCATTTTCTGTTTGTTCCAACAGGGCTGTCTCCTTTTCATTGTGTCACACATAGTCTTTCCCACTGGACGGTGTAGGTTTTGGATAAGGACGTGGTGTTGGGTAGGAGGTTGTTTTTCGGGGACAGGAGCAGCAGAGTAAGGCACCTCCTAGAAGGCAGAGAGAAGCTGCCGCCCAGCCAGTGAAGAGAGCCTGACCAAATTCATACCTAAAAAGAAAAGGCAATGCATTTGTTTAATCAATGAATCATTGGCAGCTCTTCAGATATAATTAAGCAAGGAAATCAATATCATACTCTTATTTACTTCCTTTGAAAATAACCCTCCATAGTCCTTTGGGGAAGTAACTTTAAATACTTCAACAAACATACACAAGAATGTTTTCACTGCAACTACTGACAATTTGCAGTAGTAGATGAGACAATGGGAGCTCTGGTAGCATAGTGCTTAAGTCACTTGACTCCTAACCAGAAGGCTGGCGTTTCAAACCCACCAGCCATTCCTCAGAAGGAAGGTTGGGCAATCTACATCTATAGTGATACTGCCTCAGAAATCCAAAAAGGGGTCTCTATGAGTTGGGGCAGACTTGACGGCACAAAACAACCACCACAACAACAGATCAGACAATATGATGTGCAAAACCAGGTTAATTATGCAAATGTTTCCAAAGACTTTTTCATGTGCAAGAGATCTGTAAAGTAAGTTTATATATTTTGCAAGATGAATTTGGACCACAGGTCCTAGCACAGCATAACATACTGCCACCAAGCAGCAACTACATTCTATTAAGAAATTGACATATATTGCGAAGGAGGTTATTAGAGGTTTTAATAGTTGATCCTGAGTAACTATATAAAATGAAATCCCAAATTTATGGTTCATAAAAAAGACTTTTAAGCAGTCCATGGACTATCCAGATTAATCTGGTCTAGGTGAATGTATTAATGTAGGCTCTTGGCGGTGAGATCCATGAGTGATTGTGAACAATGAGGGTGGAGAAGGACTGGCTCTGAAAGCTCAAGGCCTAGATTCCAATGCAAATTCAAGTGCTGCTATTGCTGCTGCTAACTTCACAACATCAGTTTGTTCTGTCAAAGCAGGATAATTACATTTGCCTCAATGGATGCTTTCAAGATCCCTTGAGATAATGTAAATAATACTTACACAGTGCCTAGCAATTTATAAAGTGCTTTCACATGCATTACTGGTATTATTCTTCTATTAAAATTTTAGCCCATTGACCTCCAGGAGTTTCTGGCTCTAGGTCATATGTCTCATGGGATAGGTTGCAACACAGTCATTGCAGTATGTGCTCTCTTATATGTGGGTGATTATATAAAAAGAAACACACCTTCTCTCTCCAAGCACTAGGATTTTTCATCCATTCATCCTAGCACTTAACAAACAATAATTACATATTAAAGTTCTAACTCTAAATGTACTCATTAGTCTTTAAAGATATGAAGACACTGACATGAAGAGCCTTGTTCCTAACCTGACCTGTTAGTCAAGAATCAGGTCTTTAACTTCTACAACTTGTAATGTTAAGAAAGGTGATCCTTGGAAAGTCAATTTTATAGTTGTGATGTTGTTGTTGTTATATGCCCTCGAGTTGGACCCGACTCATAGCGACCCCTCCTTGGGTTTCCAAGGCAGTATCACTACGGAAGTAGATTGCCTCATCTTTCTTCCGAGGAGTGGCTGGTGGGTTTGAACCACCAGCCTTCTGGTTAGCAGTCAAGTGCCTTAGGCACTATGCTAAAGTGGTATCTCCATTTAGTAAAAATTTGTAATACTCTTAGATGTAAAATTAAACTTTTTGGAATGAAGTATTATTCACTAAGACCTACAGTAGTACTTTTTTTTCAGTTAATCATAAGCTGCGTGTTAGCTATAAATAATCATAATTAGGTATTGTAAGCATCTAAATACACTTCAAAGAGGAAAGTTCAAATATGTTAACATCTTTTTTAGCATAAAAAAAAGACTCACCATAGAGTGGGAAAGTATAGAGCTTGGAACTCTCTACTTTGAAATAGTTTGTCATCAATACAGGCTGCTAAAGCAATTATCAAACTCATTTTAGCATGAGTCACAGGCCATTCAGATTGTTTGCAAGTTTGACATAAAATGCCATACAATTTTTGAAAGCAAATCTGGAAAGCCACAGCACTAGTTGGACTTTGCAGAATATAAGTAGGATATTTTGTCAAAGAATAAACAATTTTATGCATGAATAGCATTACCTGGCATTGACTGGGGTTGCTGGGTTGTAGAACTCTTGAACAATTCTATTTCCATACCATGCTGTAGCAACTAAAATTGCCAGACCTACAGAAATTCAAAACAGAAGACTGTTAATCACTATGGAACATTTAAATATACAGTCCAATAAACCTAAAAGTAGTTCCTAAGAATTAAATCTCATTATTAGTGCTGGAATTTTAATTTTAGTATTAGTGAATGGAAGTTTCATACGTGATTTATTCAATCTTTTGGTAAGACAGAAAAAAGTATTAAGTTGGAGTTAGGCAGAGGTTATACCCTTCATGTCATCTTATTCACCACTTAAGAGTTCAAGGTCACATGGCACAAATGGTAGATATTTCTTTTTCTTTTAATCTTCAGCGGATTCATATCATTCAAGACCTCCTTCAAATATATTGTAATATATTTTGTATATATATAAAAGTGATGTCCTTACTAACAGACATACAGTGTCACTTGAAAAAGGGAGGATAAAAGCCCTTCTACATTCTTCTTGAAGAAAACTCAAAATGTACATTTCTGGGGAGTCAAAAGAAGATCAATCAGCTAGATAGCAGAGAAGAACAAGATCCATTTCAGAATGGATCAGACCACAAAATTCACCCTGTCCACCAGACACACCAGCTGTCTATTGTCTTGAGATTTGTTAAGAGTGTTACATCAGAGGAATTATGCAAAACAATCACAGTTTCCTACAGCATTTCATATTTCAATAAAACTAGAAAAACCACTTAGTCCAAAGAATTCATTCCCTCATTTATAAATAGTGGAAGATATCTAGATTTTTTTTTTTAATTCAAAGAAATGAAATAGACTTTTTATAATAACTATTTAGAATACACTAGTATAGATAGATTGTCTGGTTTTTTTGTTTTTGTTTTTGTTTTTCCATGCTACCCTCCCTTACCCTCTAAAAAGTACTTTAAATTAAATGCCTCAAAATCTTGGCAGACAAATTGCTATGGGCTGGTTACATAGACCATGATAATGCTCTAAGACCTGCAGTCCTCACTTCTTAGCAAGTTCTTGAAACTGGAGCAAGGGTAATATAGTCACTTATGGGAGTCACAAGAAGACAAGCAAAGGAAGGTAAATTTATTCATAGCTTTGATGTAACTAGGTAATAAAGCATCATCCATGGCTTTTCTGACGGGAGCTAATTTGTGTTTGGCTAAACTGAAAGACAGGGCCACTCTTTAACCACACCTTTAACAAAGCCACAGAGACCCCTCTGTTATCAGTTAAATCCATGTATTTTGCTATGATCTTTTGCAGGGTCTTTTGTGAAAGATGAAGTCCTAGTAGCACAGTGGTTAAGGCGTTTGGCTGCTAACTGAAAGGTTAGGAGTTCAAATCCATCAACTGCTCTGTGGGAGAAAGATGTGGCACTTTGCTTCTGCAAAGATTTATAGTCTTGCAAACTCTATGGGGCAGTTCTACTCTATCCTCTAGGGTCACTATGGGTTGCAATCAGCTCCACCGCATTTGTTTTTTGTTGTTGTCAAAGAGAAAATAAGAAAAGAAAGCCTTCTAATTTTTCCAAGTGGTAGGTTTTATCACTGCCTTATTATATAGAAGTCTTTAAAATAGACCTGTCCATGCCTTCTGGCTCTCATCAGACTCAACAATCAACTTGAACAAAGCAATAAATTCCTATTCTCAAGGGGAAATATAACCGCATTTGTTTTTCAAGGCTGCTCTATACTTTCTTTCCTAACTCACTGCACCTAATTTCCTATAATTCCAACATTCTACCTCCGTTCCGACAGACTCACTCCTTCACAGAGCTATGAGTACCTCATGTTTATTCTGGAATCAGTTCTGCCCATTTGGAATGTTGTCTGCATTTTTCTCAAATAATCCAACTCTCATACTTTCCTCAAAGAGCTGTGTGATTCACATATACTTTATGTTTTCTCCTAGTATATCCCGTCTTATTTTCCATCAGGTGTTATTAGCTAGAGTCTGCCCCATAGAAATTAATACTAAATTTTGAATTACATAGAATTGTTCCTTAGTGTATGCTAGCTACAATTCATCTCTTTGCACTTGGGGAGACCAGTTCTAACAAATCAAGTGGCTCTTGAAGCCTCAATGAATCAGACAATCTATTGTGAGCATGGATCTCAAGGTTTCATTGGCTTCTCTGTTTGAGACACTGAAAGCCAACTTCAATTAAGGTCCATGTCTTCAGAAGATAACGGGATTGATGTAAATCAATTCAAGTGCAAAAAATCCAACATAATCTAAGGAAATCAAAAGCTAGATCTCAAACCAGGCCAAGGTCAATAAGTAAGATGAAAGGGGGACAGGACTTCTCTTACCTGAAATAAGAAATATCACACCCCCAATGACAGCCATCCTCATTTTTTGTATCTCATCATCTTCCATGCACTTCATACATTTCATGCCCATGGTGGCCACAAAGATTGCTATCAGTCCCAGCAGGATGCCAATCACCATTAAGGCCCGGGTTGCTTGCAAAGTACCTGCCAAAAACATTTTAGAACATTTAAAAATCATCATGTCTAGGTAAACAAGAGAAGAGTGGTCAAAGTAACCAACGAAGTATACTTCCATGTTGTATGTAAAGAACACTAAACTAGTATTCAGGAGACTTTAGTTCTAATCATGTTTCTGCCTATAACTAACTTTGAGACCTAAACCAAATGAGTGACTTAAATCCATCAAGACACAGTTTCTCTAGAAAAATTAAAGCTTGGTCTGGATGATGAATAAGAGGCCTTCTAGCTCTATTTTGACTTAACATCAACTCAAAATTGACCAGGAAAGTAATTAATGTGCTAGTTGAATAGGTTTAGCTGAACTAACACCTCTTTACTTCTTATTAATAAGGCATTCTAATTCAGAAATAATAATCATATGTATTATTCTTTAAAACAAAACAAAATAATATTGTAATTCAGGTGAAAGTTTACAGAGAAAATTCATCTTCCATATAGCAGTTCACATACACTTTGTCTGATGACATTGACTGCACTCTCCCACAATGCAACAGCTCTCCTCTCATTTCCCCCCATAGCCACCTCTTCCCTGTGTCCTTCCCCCTCATGTAGTCCTGCCCCTCGAGCTATCTCCCTGCGCATACACAGCCTTTCTATCCTCCCTTGATTGAGCTCTCCAAGGAGTGTATATACCTAATCCAAATGTTCAGCTCATGTGTCTGTCTTTTCTTTGGCTGGAAACCACAGGAGTGAGTTCAATTCCAGACCCGAGTGGCAGTGAGGGGCATAGTCTCAGGGGTTTCACCAGGCTCTATCAGACCAGCAAACTTGGTCTTTTATTTTATTTTTTGTAATTTGGAGTTTTGTTCCACATTGTTCTCCCACTCTATCCAGGATCTCCTACATAAATCCCCTTCCAAGTAGTTGACAGTGGTAGCTGGGCACCACCTAGTTCTTTTAGTCTCATGGTCATATAGACTGAAGATCACATGGTGTACCAGTCTCTTGGACTAATTGTTTCCATGCATCTTTGGTTTTCTTCATTCTTCTTTGCTCTGGACAAGGAGAGACCCATCTTTTTTTTTTTTTTTAATTGTGATTTGGGTGAAGATTTACAGAGCAGATTCACTTTCCATACAGCAGTTCACATACACTTTGTCTCATGACATTGACCACAGTTTACCACAATGCAACAACTCCCCTCCCACTTCCTCCCCATAGTTACCTCTCCCCAGTGTCCATCCCTCCACGTACTCCTGCCCCCCTGAGCGGTCTCCCTGTGCATAAGCAACCTTTCTTTCTCCCATGATTGTTCTCTGAGGTAAATGTTTAACTCATATGCCTGTCTTTCGTTTGGCTGGAAACCACAGGTGTGGGTTCAATTCCAGACCTGAAGGGCAGCTAGGGGCCATAGTCAGTGGTTCCACCAGGCTCTATTGGACCAGCACACCTGGTTCCCCCCCCCTTTTTTTTTCACCAAATGATTTTGAGTTTTGTTCCACATTGTTCTCCCTCTCTATAAGGATCTCCTAGATAGATCCCCTTCCACATGGATGACAGTGGTAGCCGAGCACCATCTAGTTCTTCTGGGCTCATAGTCCTATAGGCTGCAGATCAGACAATGTACCAGTTGCTAGGACTAATTGTTTCCATGAATTTTGGTTTTCTTCATTCTTCTTTGCTCTAGACGAGGAGAGACCCATTGCTGCATCTAGATGGCAGCTTGCTAGGTTTTAAGATCCCAGTTGCTACTTGCTAAAGTAGGAGGTGGAACAGTGTTTTGTATAGTATGTTATGTCAATTGAGCTTGATGTCCCCTGAGACTATGGTCCCAAGCCCACAGATTCAACTACTTGGTCCCTCTGGGTAGCTGGCTGTGACCAAGCAGTGACCACAACCTTGCCCCTTATCAGCTCTACTATACACTTGGGAATTCTGATCATTCACATAAAGTTATAGGACCATTGTCTGCCAACCCTGTACATGGGAGAGACCCATCTTTGCATCTAGATGGCCACTTGCAAGCTTTTAAGATCCCAGTCACTACTCACCAAAGTAGGATGTGTAACAATGTTTTTGTGTAGTATGTTATGTCATTTGAGCTTGATGTCCCCTGCAATCATGGTCCCAAGTCCACAGGTCCAACTACTTGCTCCCTCCAGGTAGCTGGCTATGGCCAAGTAATGACTATAACCTTGTCCCTTATCAGCTCAACTATATACCAGGAAATTCTTACAGAACATACAAATACAGATGTGGAAACATTGTCTGCCTACCCTATTCATGGTCATGGGCACAGTGCCCCCTGCATAGACACAGCTAATAGTTCAGCCTGTCCACTCATCTATTTAACTGTGTATCAGTGTTCATATGTATTATTCTTAATGTTAAATAGTTTATAATTAAAACCAAAAAACAAAGTCACTGCCATACAGTTGATTTAGACTCATAGCAACCCCTCCTTGGGTTTCCGAGGCTTTATCTCTATGGAAGTAGACTGCCCAATCTCCCTTCCAAGGAGTGGCCGGTGGATTTGAACCGCCAGCCTTCTGGTTAGCAGTCAAATGCCTTAGGCACTACACCACCAGAGCTCCTTTTTATTATTAAAATGGTTTAGAGTATATCTTGGTATTAGTCAGCAGGTCTATACATCATTCTTTTTATTATTATT